CCCTGCAAAGGGGTGGCTGCAGCTGTGCAGTAGTTACGGGCTCTAGCAAGGAATCCCAGGCCGCCGACGTCATCCAAATGCAAGAAATGAAAACATAATAAAATTTGGCTCATGAAAAAAAAAAAAAAAGATGGTCACGTGCTGATTTTGTGATCGGAAACACACACGTGTGGACCCGTTCTGACTGCCCCAGTCAGATCTTTTTAGTTTATTTCCTTAATGTCAGAGGGCACACATGTGTGCCCCAGAGAGAGCCCCCGACAGGGGCGAGGCTGTGCTGCAACCCTTTCCCCCCGCCCCTCCATCCCATCAGCACAATGGGCACGTCCACACCGGCCTGGCAAGCTGTTCAGGCCGAGATGAACCTCACCAGCCACACGGGACCCGCTCCTCTGTGCAGTCCTGCCTCTGCACCTGCGGCGGCCCAGACTGTTCTTTATGTTTTTCTAGTGTCTCAAACACCATCTCCCCAGATTGTTTTCTTTTCCTGCTATAGGGCATGTGCACTCACCAGAGAGAAACAGAGAGAGAAATTAGCCCCAGGGGGATGGCCATGCAGCAATTACTCTTCCCCACTCTCCCCTTGGGATTTGGCCATGCATGCACATGTGCCTGGTGTGATTCCCAAGCCTCTGGGTCTGGGACCTTGAACCATGAAGCTGGCCTTGTGGGATCCAGCTGCCTCAAACTCCACACCACCTGGTGGCCCCCACAGACTAAAAAAAAAAATGTTTTCCAGAGAGATTTTGCTACAGGGTGTGTGCATTCACCAGAGAGACATGGAGAGACAGAAAACAAGAAATTACTCCCCAGAGGAGATGACCACTCCACAATCCCTTCTCCTCCATTCTCCTCTTGGGATTTTGGGCACACACGCATGCACATGTGCCCAGCATGACTTTTAAGCCTCTGGGTCTAGGACTTGAACCGTGGTCAACTATGTGGGAGTCCAGCAACATAACCATTACACCATCTGCTGGTTCCACAGATTTATCTTTTTTATCTTTTTTTTTTTTTGCTATAGGATGTATGTGCTCGCCAGAAAGACAGAGAGACAGAAAGTGAGAAATCACCCCCCAGGGTGGATGGCCACCCCGCAATCTCTTCTCCTCCATTCTCCTCTCGGGATCTTCGGCACGCACGCACACGTGCCTGACGCAAGTTTAAGCCACTGGGTCTGAACATGAACTGCGGTCCACTACGTGGGAGTCCGGCGATGTAGCCATTACGCCAACTGCTGGTCCCATAGATTTATTGTTTTTTAAAGCATGCAAAAAAAAAAAAAAAAAAAAAGACAGAGGCTATCAACTACCATGTTGGGGCCGCTGGCTGAGGGAGACAGGTTGGGTCGTGGTTAGAGAGGGAGAGACTGCTCAGCCGCTGTGTACTGGGCACCTGATGCGGGGCAGAGGGAGGACATGCTGTCAAGAGACGAGCACTGTGCCCTTGGTGCGCTGACACTTGGCACGGTGCAACCCCTCTGTGGCTCTGCCCGGCCCCCCCAATTCTTCCCAGCTTTTAGGGGGGCCCTTTCACATGCTATCTCCCACCCCACCCTGGTCTTCCAAATTCATCCAGCCCCTGCCTTTGACACGTCGGAGCAAGGGCACTTCTTAACCTGCCCTAGGTTCCTGGTGTTGGTGCGCCCGTCTCCCTACGCCTGGTCTGGGGCTCACTGTGGCATGCTCTGTGTCACTTCCCTCTGCCCTCCTCAGGGGGCCTGGCACACGGCCTGAAGGGAAGAACGCCCAACGGGCTTGTCAGGTTATCTCTGACGTGAGCCTCATGGTCTCGATGAGCTCACAAACATAAAACCCTGAAACACTACAAGTTTGAGTCATCTTCCTGTCCCACTCGGTTAGATCCCAACACGCCACATGATTCCTCTCCTGGCAGCCTGGGCTCGGGGTGGGGTCATCAGAACAATTCTGAGGGCAGCAGTTGGTGGGGTACGGAACGCGGCCCATTGCCCTTCTGAGTGAGGAGCTGACCACGAATGGCTCCAGCAAGCCAACGCGTCCTCCTGCGGGGGTTCATCTCAGCCCCTGGCACTAGGAGGCTGGTGTGTGCCAGAGCGGAGCGGGCCCGTGGGCCGACCTGCCGGCTCAGGGCTGTCCCTCTCTGTACAGCAGCCACCGGGACGTCCACGCCAGCCCTGGGCTCAGAGCTGCAGACACGACGGGAAAGAGACAGAGACAGCCCTTGACCTGGCGAGCTGCATTCCCAAGGGGAGGCAGACATCGGGGAAACACCCCCTGCTTACATGCTCGGGAGAAGCGTTCTGATGAAAAGAACCGGGGCACAGTGACGGGGAAGGACGGGGAGGCGCTTTACACAGCACCGAGGAAGGCCTTGAGGAGATATTCAGGCCCGGACCTGAGGGATGAGAAGGTGCTGCTGAGGCACCGGGCCAGGGAAGAGACGGCCAGGTAGAAAGGCCTGGGGTGGGAAGACGGAGGGCTGTCCGAGCTCTCAGGGGGCCAGAGCGGCTGACGTGAAGCAAGCTGGCAGCAGGGGGCTGGATGGGGCCAGACTTCGCCAAGACAGCGCTTTGGGACTTGCTGGGGATTTGATGTGTAGGAGGGCGTTAAACAGGGTGCTCACAGAATAAACCGTGCCGACAACCTCACAGCTCTATTCTCTGCTCACTGCTTCTATTAACACTTAGGGTGGGGGACCAGCAAATGGCGTAGTTGTTATGTGGCTGGACTCCCATGTGGTTGACCTCGGTTTGAGTCCTGCACCTGGCAGCTTGGAAAACTCACAACAGGTACGTGTGTGTGTGCATGCCTCGGGTTCTGAGTGGAGAACAGAGGAACGGGGATTGCGGTGTGGCCAGCCTCCCAGTCCCTGAGGGGTGATTTCTTGCTTTCTGTCTCTTGGAGAGCACCTGTGCCCTATATCAAAGCTCTCTCCAAAACAAACAAAACCCTTAGGGTGGGAGAAAAACTGAATTTCAGACCAGCAGGTGGCATGGTGGTTAAGGTGCTGGGTCCGCGCGGCTAATGACTCCGTTCAGAGTCCTGGACCCGACAGCTTGAAAAATCCTGCTGTGTGCATGCGTGCGCGTTCCCAAAATCCAGAGAGGAGAATGGAGAAGGGACTGTGGCATGGCCGTTCCCGTAGGGGTTTCTCACTTTTCCTCTACCTCTGTCTCTGGTGAGTGCATGTATCCTATAACAAACAAAAAAAAAAAAAAAAAAAAAAAACCAAACCAAACCAAAACAAACCAAACCAAACCAAAAGGCTGTGTTCTTGGACCGGCTCTGTGGTGCGGTAGTGGTGCACTATTCAGACGACTGCCTTCTGGTCCCTGACCCGGGTGGCCTGAAACGTGTGGGCATGCACCTGCTGCCTGGGACCTGAGGGCTGGGGGACTGCAGTGGGGGATCTCAGAGTGGCTGGGCCCCGGGGCAGGTTCTCATCTTTCTCTCTCAGATGGTCCTGGGGATGGCTCTTGTGAGACTTAAGAAAGTGCCAGTCTTGGGCCAGCAGCTGGCGCAGTGGTTACGTGGCTGGACTCCCAGATAGCTGACTGCAGTCCAAGGCCTGGACCGGGTGGGTTGACACTAACGCTGAGCGCATGTGCTTGCATGTCCAAGATCCCAGGAGGAGGATGGAGAAGAGATTGCAGCTGACCATTTCCCCTGGGGGGGAGGTGATTTCTCCCTTTCCCTCTCACTGTCTGCATATCTGTCTCTCTGGTGAATGTATATGCCCTAAGGTAAAAACCTCTGGGGGTAGGGGAAGAAAAGTATGGGGAAATGAAATAGCACAAGAGGCATTTGTAAATTCAGGGATGCCTGAGGGTCTTGGGAGGTAGAAGTTAAAGGTCTATTGTAAACCGGGCGTTCTCACCCTGAGCACTGTGGCCCGCGGTGTGGTGGGCCTGTCTTGTGCATGTGGCACTTTACTGGCACCCCAGCCTCTGCCAGGAACATGCCAGTATCAGCCTCCCTCTACTAATGGCGTCTAGACAATCTGAAATGTCTCCAGACATTGCCACATGTCCTCTTGGGGGGTCCAAGACCCCCAGCAGGTGAGAATCCCGGGTGCAAATGGAGACATAATAAAACGAGCATGCTCCCGACAGAAGCGTAAATAAATCTCAGTGAGAAGGAGCCCTCAGAACTTTACAAAGAAACGCACTAGGGATACACTGTCGACAGCTGGGAGCTGAATGGGTGCTCGGGAGGCCAGCAGGTGGCACAGTATTAAGGTGCTGGACTCCCACGTGGCCGACCAGGATCTGAGTCTGGGACCCAGCAGCTTCAAAGTCATGCTAGGCTTGAAACTCACACCAGGCACATGTGTGTAAGCACCCCAAAATCCCAGGAGGAGAATGAAGGAGCAGGGATTGCGGCATAGCCATCTCCTCTGGAGTGTGGATTCTTGCTTTCTGTCTCCCTGTCTCTCTCTGTCTCTCTGGTAAGTGCACGCATCCTATAACAAAAAATCTCTCAAAAAGAAAAAAAGATACGGGTGCTCACGTTTGTCTTGCTTGGTTGCACTGTTTGCCTGGGGGTGGGGGGCACTCAGGGACTCCCAGAGGATAAGGTAGGAGTTCCTTGCCTTCTGAGTGCTTCAGCAGACTTGGCAAGCATGAAGTGCTCTCTACTGAAAGTAAAGGTAACAGTGAGGACCGATCAGCAGGACCAGAGAGAGGCAGGAAGCAAATCTGAGCTGAGCCACAGGCAGGTCAAGAGGATTCTGGGGGAGGAGGAAAAGAAAGAAGACATTCCCTCCTGCTGGTCACCTGACAGTTCTAGGAGGCCAGCTCCCAGAGGACGCTGAGGCACAAGGTCCAACCACAGCCCCAGTGAAGCAGGCCTCGGCACGGATCAAGCACACGGCCAGCACACGGCCAGCACACAGGCTAACTCGCCCTTCCTGAGTGTCGACTCCTCTCCTGTGCTGCACTGAGGACACCGTCCCTGCTCCTTGGGATCAAGGCCCTGCTTTGTTCCAGAGAGCTCAGTGTGGCATGGCACCTGTCTTACCTCCAACCCAGCTGCGACACCCAGGATGTGCGTGAAGCAGCGGCAGCCGGCATCTTCCAACGGCTTTCCTTCTCTGACAGTTGTCAGAAGGCAGCGCGAGGAGGAAGCAATGACTACGGTTTGAGGTTGTGAAACAAGCGCTCTGTCCTTTGAAAGCAACAGCAACGATGGGTGAGAGGCAGCTAGCAGAGGCACCCTTGGCAGCTGGCCCTTCCGTGGCATGAAAGCCACCTCGTCCTTATTTGATCACAACCACCGCTCCAGCCCTGAGCCCTCCCCAGGCCCAGGAATCGGGAAGCAGACGCGCCTGCCCTGACATCACTCCTGGGGACACGCACTGACAGCACCACAGCCCTGTGTCCAGCACCACCCTTGGGCGGGTGTGGCATCTGAGCCCTGGCAAGGCTTGCCTGCCTGGTACAAATGTTTTCTGCACAATAACTCGAGCAAAGGCAAACATCCTGGGTACCCACGGTGAGAAAACAGCTGACATGGGGCACCACGGAGCTGAGAGGCTTTGCCTTCGGAATGACCTAGAGCTGATGCACAGTTATGAACTACATGCCCCAGGCCAGCGGGTGGTGTGGGAGTTAAGTCAGCTGGACCCCACATGACCAACTACATGATTTGTGTCCTGGACACAGTGACTTGAAAAACACACTGGTGGGGACCAGCAGGTGATATGGTGGTTAAGGTTCTGGACACTCCCACATGGCTGACCATGGTTCAAGTCCTGGACCTGGTGGCTTGCTTTCTCACTTCCCCTTCTTCCTCTCTCTCTCTGTCAAATTAAAAATAAATGAATGAATAAATAAAATTGAATACATAATTGAAAAAAAAACACACACTGGTGTGTGTGCGAGTATGCCCAAAAGCCTGAGGGAAGGAGAGATGGAGAAGTACCCCTTTCTCACTTTCCCTCTCTCTCTATCTCGCTCCAATGAGCACACATGCCCTCCAGCAAGTTAAAAACCAACCAACCTACCAGCCCAGTACAGTGGTCTCCCAGGGGAGTCAGAGCAGTGACTGCTGAGCCGGGGCCTGCAGGGAGCTCAGAGCAGTCCCCAGTGCATCTGGGCTCAGCGGATGACAAATTCTCTGGTCTCAGAGTGAATCAGGAATCACTCTCCCAGGATGACGGAGTAGCAGAAACAATAAATGAATGAATAAATAAAATTGAATACATAATTGAAAAAAAAACACACACTGGTGTGTGTGCGAGTATGCCCAAAAGCCTGAGGGAAGGAGAGATGGAGAAGTACCCCTTTCTCACTTTCCCTCTCTCTCTATCTCGCTCCAATGAGCACACATGCCCTCCAGCAAGTTAAAAACCAACCAACCTACCAGCCCAGTACAGTGGTCTCCCAGGGGAGTCAGAGCAGTGACTGCTGAGCCGGGGCCTGCAGGGAGCTCAGAGCAGTCCCCAGTGCATCTGGGCTCAGCGGATGACAAATTCTCTGGTCTCAGAGTGAATCAGGAATCACTCTCCCAGGATGACGGAGTAGCAGAAACCTTGAGAAGAAGGTGTCCTCCTCCCTCAAAATCCTGCCACCACCTCCTGGTTAAGGCTACCTCACCCCGTCACTACCCCTTTTCCCCACATCTCTCTGTCCCAGTAAGACAAGGGAACAGAGCATCTGTTTATGACCAATACCCAACTCGGTCCTCAAACAAAAATCCTGAACAAAATAAAAACATGTGAAATGAAAGGGGGGAAAACAGTAGAACCAACCGAAGCTCGTAGACGTGCCTGATTTCTTGGGTCACATGCTGACAGGTGAAATGGTAACTTAAACAACTGGAAATATAGCAGAGTGTTTTCCTTCCAAAACTCAGTTATAGCAATGACTAATTTCCTCATCTCTAAGCTTACAGATGTTGCATAAAAAAGCAGGAACTGTGGTGACTTTTATGGATAGCACTTAGTGTCATTGCTGACACAAAGAGGCGGGGAGCTGTCACATGGTCCCACAGAAGGACACTAGTCCTTCTGTCCCAGAGTTCACGAAAGGTCTCCCCTGATAAGTTACAGAGGTGAGGGAGGCTCCTTCACTGCTGCACACAGACAGCCCAGGCCCAACAGGAAGTCCCAGGGATAAGCCAGGCTTTCTTCCAGCTGTTCTCAGAAATAGGTCCTGCTTCATCATGCCTCAGTGGCTGGTCTGTGGAGCTGGCAGAAACAGAGCACATGCCATGGTGGGAAGGCATGTGCAAAGCAGGGCAGCTGTTTAAGGCAGGGTAAGTTACAAAAAGACAGCTCTCTTTAGCCAGCGCTACTTTCCCTGGGGATCCCTGTAACAATGTGAGTCAATCACTCATTAAAGGAATCCTCCAGTGACGTATCCAGGCTAGACAGCCCTGTGATGTAGTAATCGTGACTGATCGTATATCCCACAGGAAGATAAACTGAGCGTGTGGGGGGTGAGGCATGACACAGACCTAAGACGGAGAGAAATAAATCGCTTTAATTGCTCTAAGTGGCAGAGCCCACTGAACTGTAGCTGGAAGTCTCTGCACGCTTTCGCTGCCTCTTACACCATCTGAGACTATAAAGTTATGCAACTGAAAATTCAGCTGGAGGACAAAGTGGTTTCGAACTGCTGAGATGAACAAAACCCAGAATCGACAGCTGTCAATCACTGTCCATCTGATGGGCAGCACCTTAAGCAAGTAGTAGCAGCCCTGGGATAAATATTATCTCAGAGCTAAGGAGTCAGTTCTGTCTGGCTTGACCGGGCTAACATGGGGACAAACATGACTCATGGTCTAAGCTTGGACAACAGAACTGGACCCTATCCTGTTTTCACAGGAGGACCACAGACGGACAGACCAACAGTGCAGACCAGGACTCTGAGGGCTTCTCTAGAAGCCGGGAGCACAATGGTGGGCGAAGCAGGACGTGGAAGTAAAACTCACATATGGAGAATAGAGCGCCCCGGTCTCTGTGATTTCACCGGCCATTTCCACAGGTGAGGAAGGGGGGACAGCAGAAGGTCCTCCAGCGCGAGGGCGGCGGCTGCTGCAGTTCCCTAGGAAAAGAACAGACTTCACCTTTCCGATGAACAGAAAGTTGTCGCCCCCACCTCTCTTCATTTTACCATAGACACTTAATGGCCTCAGTATCTGTCACAAGACTCGGGCCCAAAGCATTTCCCTAGAAGCCCAATATCTGGCCTAACTTTCCCCTTGCCATCCAGGGCTCTGCTCCGTGCACGGCATGGATGTATCAGACCTGCTGGGCCCCTTAAGTGACTTACTGGGCTTCGGGAGCCACTAAGTCTCATCCGCCACAAGACCCCACTAGGATGTGGTCATCCCCCTCTAATTCCAGGAACTGCAAGTTCACTACCACACAGGGAAGCCCAGGGAACTGCCTGCCTCCTCCGCCTGTGACAGGGAGCTGGGGGCTTTCCTGCATCGCCCCTCCGACCGAACTCCTCGCCCAAAGCCTCTCCTTTATAGCGGGGCCTCCAACACCACCCCTTCTGCCCTGCCTTAGGGTTACCCATCCTCGAACCTCTCTCTCATGAACACTGCTACGCCCCCCCCCCCCCCAGCTGCAGGCCCCTCGATCTCGCGCCGGTCCGTCCCATCCCCTCCGGCCCGGCCCGACACCTGCAGCACAGCTCGCTCGCGACCGCCGCGGCCGCTGCCTCCGGCTCCTCCGCTGCTGCCAGCTGTCCCGCACCAGCGCCCACAGCGCGCATGCGCCGGCGCCCGACCCACCTTCTCTGGGCGCGCCTCGGGCGGGGCGCAGCGCGCTGGTTGGGTGCCTCGCGGGGGCGGAACCGGGATTGGGACCTGCCGGCCGCCGTCTGCGTGGCGGAAGTGGGCGGGGTGCGCTCCTGCGCGCATGCGGGAAGGGCTGCCGCTGCCCTGCCGGGAAGCGTGGCTGGTGGGAGGCGGTGGATCGCTGGTTCTTTTGCCGGCGTTTTCGTCCGCGGGGGTGGGTGCGAGCGTGGCAGTTCCGGGACTTGGGCCGCGCTAGCGGGGCGGGGAAGAGGGAGGGCCAGAGCCCGCGGTGGGTGGTCGCTGGGCCGAGGGGTTGGAAATAGGTTTGAGTAGGGTTAAGGCGGGGCTGAAAGTTGATCCCCGGCTGGAGTTCCTGGACTAGGGTACCTGATCTGAGCCTTGAGAGGGAGTCTTGGTGCGTGATGAGCTTGGGTTGAGGGATCGGATTCTGGGGGTGGACGGTAGGGACAGCTAGAAACGACAGCCCAGGGGTGCGAGTCAAGGACTGTTTATCCACAGCTGATTCTCTTTCCTACCAGAGGTTTAAAATCTGTTCTCCGAAGTGTCTGGAAGGAAAGGGGAATGAGTCCTGTCAGCTTAGCTCCAAGCAGGCATTTAGCACCCTTGGGCTCCCACACTGAGCGGACGGTGCTCGCTCCTGACGTCTTTGCTCTCCCTCTCTGCAGGCTGCCAGCATGAGGTTGAATCAGAACACCCTGCTGCTGGGGAAGAAGGTGGTCTTGGTACCCTACACCTCAGAGCATGTTCCTAGGTAACCATTCTGTCTGACATGGGATGCAGCTGCAGCCGCCCACAGGGCTGTGTAAGCCAGCTCTTCCCCTGCTAAGAAGTGTTGGTTGTGAAAATTAGTTACATACAGGGGGAAAAAAAAAGAAAGCCAAAAGGAGAGGCTGGAAGAAGTCGTCCGTCCCTTTTGGTTTCTCCTGCTACCCATCCATACTTTTGAGCTTTTTAGTGAGGAATTACTTTATGTAAATTGAGTGTGCATAAAAAAAGAAAAATGTTGTCTTCTTGCTTGATTGTAAATGAGTGACAGTCCCTGGTGCCAGTGAAGATGCTCAGCTCTAGGGGTCTTGATGTTACCTCATCCTCCAAACTGAGCAGATGGGACAGTTTGATGTCTGCTGTCCTGAAAGGGCAGAATTGAGGCACAGGATGGGGCTCTCGTGGGGACCGTGGGCAAGATTTGGTACAGTGGGATGATAGTGGCGTAGGGGGTGTCCTCTGCTTGTAGTTTTCCTTTTGACCGTTCCTGGTATCCTGTCTTTGGGGGAATGTGTCCAGCCTTTGCTGAGGTCGGCTTGCTATATTCTTCCCCTCAGGAATTTGAGGAATGCCTGGCTTCAGACTGCTCCCCCGCACTGACCCCTAAGACAGGATGAGCAGCCAGACAGAGCTGACCCGTCCTGTTGTGGGGCTGGCCTGCCTCTGGCCATCTCTTAGGAGCAGCCTCTATTCTTTGGGTATTTTAAGAGCCCTGTATTTGTCCTGAGGGGCGCTTCTCCTTTCCATCCATTCATAAGTGTCAGGGGGCCAGCAAGTGGTGTGGCATTTGAGGTGTTGGACTCCCTTATGGCCAGTCGCGGTTTGAGGCCCGTGATTTGAGTCCTGGATCCTGGTGGCTTGAATCTCATGCTGGGTGGGTGTACATGCATGCCCAAAATCCCAGGAGGAGGTTGGAGGAGAAGGGATTGCAACATGACCACCACCCCCCTCCCCCGGGGGTGACTTCTTACTTTCCCTCTCACTGTCTCTCTCTGATGAGCACACGCACCCTATGGCAAAAACCTTGGGGGGGGAGGGGAGTGTCATACCATGCATCTGAATCAGCCCTGCTTGTCTAAGGCCCTCCATCTGTCCCTGCAGGTACCACGAGTGGATGAAATCTGAGGAGCTGCAGCGTTTGACAGCCTCAGAGCCCCTGACCCTGGAGCAGGAGTATGCCATGCAGCACAGCTGGCGTGAAGACCAGGACAGTGAGGAGAGGAGCGCCCTGCCTGGTGTTGGGAGGGTAGACTGCAGAGGCAGTTTCTAGGTTCTCTTGTCTCACCTCCAGCCCCATTTTGTGGCCAGGAAAGCTTTGTGAAAAGCCTAGAAAGTGCAGGAAGCCCCGTATTCTCATGCTCTTTGAAGCCAGACCCTGTGGCTAGCTAATCCTTCTGTCCTCTTCCCCACTCGCTGCTCCAGGCATGGAAGGATTTAGAGAAAGTCATGCATTTTGATCTCGGACTGTGAACTTAGGCCCCAACCCTCATGTCCCTTAATTGTCAGTCTGGTGTGGTCACTGTCCTCCTTGGGGTCCCCTGGTCTCAGGGGTTGCGATGCCATTTGGTTGCTATTTAGGGAAGGCTGTCTTCTCTTTATTTGCCAGAGATCGGGTACACTAGCCAGGGAGAAAGAGAGAGCACCCCAGAATGGGGCATGGTCATGTTGCAGTCTAGTCTCCACCTCTGCAGCCTGTTGAGATTTTGGGCATGCACACATAGGCTTACCCAGCATGGTTTTCAAGCTCCAGGGGTCAAGATTCAAAGTGTCTAGGTGACCATGTGGGATCCAGTGCCCTTAACCAATGGGCCATAGGACTGGCCCTGAAGGCTATTTTTTTACACATAGGCAGATTTGGAGCTTTACGATAAGCTGAAGGAAACTCCAGACCCACTTTTCCCCATGAGACTCAGAGATGTTGGTATTCTGCAGTCCTCTGCAGAGATGTTGGACAGGAATGCATCCTTACTCGTCTTCTCTGAGCGTAGGAAATAATCCTGTGGCCTCCCCTCAGAGTGCACCTTCATTGTGCTGGATGCAGAGAAGTGGCAGGCCCAGCCAGGCACCACTGAAGAGAGCTGCATGGCAGGAGATGTGAACCTCTTCCTCACAGATCTCCAAGACCCCACCTTGGGGGAGATTGAGGTCATGATTGCAGGTTCGTTCCACTTGCCCAGCTGCCCTACCCTCTGGGCCCCTGGTATGCCTGCCAAGGCCGTAGCCAAGGCCACAGTGGGTATTCGCCATGCTGGTGAGTCTAGGACCTGGCTAACAGACTGCCCACTTGGTACTGTGTCAGCCTGGTGGTTCACCCCACTCCTGGTCACTCTGTTTCTTATGCTTAGGTGTGAACTTAACCATTGGTTTTGGGGTCTTCAGAATTCACCGTCCTGTCCCGGGGGTGGGCTGGGGACCCTCTGAAAAGAAATGATTGGGACCAACAGATGGCATGATGGTTACGTTGCTACGTGGTCAACTGTAGTTAGAGTCCTGGGGACCTGGCAACGTAAAACTCCCACATGCCCAAAATCCCAAGGAGAATGGAGAAGAGATTGTGGTGTGGCCATCCCCTGTGGGGGGGATTTCTTGCTTCCTCTCTCTCTGGTGAGTGCATGTGCCCTATAACAAAACAAAACAAACAGCTCTTAACAAAGAAAAGAAATAATCTTCTCTGGAGCATCTTGTTGCACGGCGAGAGGAGCCCTCCCGTCTGTGTATTCTTCTGTCCTTAGCTTCCCCTGTGGGAAGCGAAGGGGCTACTGACTGTGCCTGTGAGGCAGCAGGCATTCAGCTTTGGAGTCTGGCTGGTGGGGTGCAGGCCGTTGAACTGTGTGCCTCTTTTCCTCATCTGCAGAATGCTAAGGGCAGGCCAGCTTCCCAGAGCTGTTGTGAGGGCTAAGTGGGCTCGTGTGCCAGGTGCCCACATTAGAGCCTGGTACGTGGCACCAGCTGCCGCTCTTGTTCCTCCTAGAGCCCAGCTGCAGAGGCAGGGGCTTCGGCACGGAGGCGGTCCTCATGATGATGTCGTACGGTAAGGACACCCACACGGGCATGGGGAGTGGCCAGGGGGCACTGAGGGGGGCAGTGACAGGCACCTCCGCTGCAGACTGGAACGGGAGGGCTGGGTGTTGATGGGCAGGGGCTTTATCCTGCTGCCCACCCCTCTCTGATCTCCTCGGGGAGGAGTGACCAAGTTAGGTTTGACCAAGTTTGAGGCCAAAATCGGGCAAGAAAATGAGCCAAGCATCCGGATGTTCCAGAAGCTTCACTTTGAGCAGGTAAAGACATAGACGGGGTTGGGGGTGGAGGGCTAGGTCTGGGGGGGAGGTGGTGCTAGAACTGGGAGCTGTAATGGGGCCCTGCTCTCTGGCTTCTGCAGGTGGCTGTGAGCAGTATCTTCCAGGAGGTGACACTCAGACTGACAGTGAGCCAGGCCGAGCGGCAGTGGCTTCTGGAGCAGACCAG